GTCCAGCAAAACAAATCTATACAGATTTGCCTATCAATAACCCATTTACAGACATTGATATTGCAAAATGAGTAGATCTCATTCGTACTTTTCAACAGGTATGGATTCTTATGGATAGTTGTCATTAACTGACAATCAGTAAGAAATGTTTTCTGTTTAAAAGTTATGGTAGCATGCAATTAAAATTTTATAGAGCTGGTAGAAAAATGTATTTTTATACACAAACATCGCTAGACCCAATACATAATATAGCTAAACATCAACCAAATGCTGAAATCCTATCGGGCTATTAATTATTAATTAATTTATTTATTTATAATTATTAATGTTAATACAGAATGGCGCCTAACGCTTACCTCTAGTGCCAAATTGGTTACGTAATTCATTTAGTAATTAGCCTTAAACTATCCCAATAGGATTTCGGCATTTGGTTGATGTTTAGCTGTATTTTTATACAATTGGTCTTTGAGAGAATATCACAATAAAATTTAAAAAAAATATATGTGGATGAAAGTGAGATTTAGACAAAAGTATATAAATCACAAAAACAGTCTACAGGAAAATATAACATTCCATCAAGTATCAACAACAGAAAAAACAGTTAATTCTTTCAATTGCCAAAAAATAACAAAATGAGAAATTTGGAACAAAAATTAACTTCTTTTACTATTCAGATTAAATTAAACAAGAAAGTATAATAAATTTTTTTTTAATTTATCTTTCCTGATTATTCTTATAACAATGGACTTATATGATCTGTTGCTCACTTAATTGCCCATCAGCACTTAAATGATGATTTGCAGTAATAGTAAATTAACAATTTCTGATTATTTTTAGAGTTGATGAGAAAACTGAAATACAAAGCACATCAAATTATTAAATACTGGGTTAATTTATAAAATTCCAGATGATAATACAGTTAAGGAAGTCAAAAAACAGTATTAGGATTTATTTTATAAGGGTTAATGAAACAGAACTGTTTGAAAAAATATTATTTTAGCTTGTGTTTTAAGAAAACCAATTTGATTTTCATTCAGTTTATTTTCTTGATTTAAGTGTTGTTAAAGAAACAATGAACTGTAACAATTGTTTAGATTTGTTTTATGTGGAATTGATATTTAATAATTTTACAATAGAATAATTAGTAGTAGTGAAAAATATATAATTAAATTATATATTTATACTTTTAGCTCAATGANATCCTAGCCTAGCAGTCATCCTTTAAATCCTTAATAATAACTGTAATTTTCCAGTTCACTTTGATGTTCCATCTAATGCCCACTGCATTAAAGCAGTGTTAGTATGACTGCTCTTATATACCAAATTCAGTCCAGTCCGCATAAGTCTACACCCCAAGGGAAAGTGAAAATGTGTCAAGTTATCTGATATGATGACTAAAACAAAGTTGAAAAAAAGCCACAAAAATACAATTAGGAAAATATAGTAGTGCTTTATACAGTACATGCAATGTATCTCTCTGACCATCCATCACTGGCACTAAAGTTGGTTTCTACTCCAAGTACCTCAGCGATTTCTATCTATTTTTGTTTCAGTATTGGCCCTGAAACAGGAAGATTCAATGAACGAATTTGCTTTAGCCAATATACCATAGCATCTTTGACATCTTTGTATAGCGACTTTCTTTGGCATTTTCGAGACAGCCACAACAAAGACCCAAGAAAAAGTTTCTTAATTTCCTATTTTCTTCAGAATTCCCACCAATGTTGTTTTTGGAAGGTTTTCTTGTTTTGCAAATTTAACTTGTTAAGTTTTATTACATTCAAATTCAGATATGTGAGGTTTCAAAAAAATGGGTTGAAATTACACATTTATTATAGAAATTTGGTAAAACAAAACTAAAAAAATCGTTCATTGTTAAAAACTGATCAAGGATCGGATTAGTTATGCTAGTCATATGAAACTGAGACGAGAAAAAACCGCTATTGATGTAAACAGAACGCTATAATTAAATGATTAATTATTGTAAATGAACGTCCTCCAGTAGAGATGGACCTTTGACAAGGCGCTCGTATACAAATAATTAGAACATAGAAATTTTGGAAAGAAGAAAGGTTAACGATGAAAAGGGACATTATGTCGGATTGTTAAATTTCAAAAACGCCACAGACTAGACAACAATGGGGGAAAATATGAGCGTAAGTTCCAAAGTTCCATCAACACTTCCAACCAGAGTTAACGGATGGTGTCAAGTAGATTCTTCAAAGCTGCTCTTTCTCATGACTCGAATAGAAGGCGTCTTTCGCTTAGGGACAGTCGAGGGATCAATCGGGGAGCAGGAAAAAGAGATGTGGAGCCAATCAGAATAAACAAATCTAAGAATGGAGATTGATGTAATCCCAATTGTCAAGGACAAGAGGGACTTGGCAACATGCACTTGGCAAGAAGCACTCGGCAAGACATACTTGACGAGTCAAAACAGAAGTGTGTGAAAATTGGAAGCGTTTTGTCAACAAACTGGAGACGAATCTTTTTTGTCTTGGTGCCGATATTGAAGCTGTGCTGTCACTGATATCGACCAACGGAGTCTGATGAACTGTGTAACAACACTGTCCCAGGTCCACCTATACAATAAACTACAGGAGCATTGATGCTATTGACTTCCAAACAGCCGATTGTATCTAGACCAGGCATGGCCAATATATGGCCTGTCTAATGAATTTATGTGGCCCGCGATTAATCTTTCAATATTAGCTGTTGAAGTCCAAATAGCTCAATGAAAAATTCTGACGCCTAAAAAAATAAGGTCAACAACTCACTGTGTGTTTAGAGTTAACCCTTCATTACAAATCTCTTAAGTACAGTGTAGAATGTTGATAAAGCATGATAATGTGAAAAATGTATCTGTAATCTCTATGTACAGTTTAATCTGTATGGGGTGTCACCACAATGAGATTCACACCACCTCAAAATCTTCCTAGGGCAGCCTCTGGTTCAGCCCATGAAAAAGTTTTCTTTCCAATTTGGCCCGGGTGCAAAAACTGTTGGCCATCCCTGATCTAGACTATATTTGTACCTTAGTGTAAATTTACTTTTATGTTTAAAATAAATGGGTTTTTGTGAGATTCTTGTCATCTGTGTCTCCTTCACCACACCCACATGCAAACGACCCTAGATCATCCTGTCACGGGAGATTCCGCCTAGAAGTCAGCAAACGTACAGATACAAGTTTGTATTTTTCCTTCAGCATAAGCATTGTTAGCTTTTGGTTACTCATTTCTAACAGAAATGTGAAAACACTTGGCAAATAACGCATAAATGAAAGGTGAGAAAATGCAAAATCAGATTCTGCTGTCATGTTAAGCTGTGTGATTTTTTTCAGTAGGGAAGTTGATTTATCAGACGTCTAAACAAGTGTGAGACAGAAAAAGTATGTTGATTTATCCATGATGATGAGTTAAATGGTGTCGAGTAAACTAGAGTTTTTTTAACATTAATGCCTATGTTAGTTGGCCCAGGACCACAGAAAACTGACTACTTAATCGACAGTGTCTAGTTATACCTATGATGATTTATGCAGACTTGACTGTATTTGTTGCTGTACTCATCATGATGCATTTCTTTATGCTGCAATTACTCTGCTAAGGAGTTGTGACTGGCAAGACCAGCTTTAATAAGACCTTTTATGGCTTTGAAAAAAAACTATAAACATCCACTACCAGGGTGATTTGTCTGAACTGCTGTGTGCTATTTATCTGCAAGGAAAAATGCAATAAAGCCTTTTTTATGAACATGTGGAAGGTTTCCAATTTATAGGACTTGGTATCAAACAACTACTGATTTATAACTTTTGCATCCAATAAATCTCTACATGTGTGAGATTCGAAGTTCATATAATTTCATAAACGAAATTAATCCTTTAAAATTTTAATAAAGGTAAATTAAAATTCCTTTAACTAAAGGAATTTGGACTTACAAAAACGAAATATAAAGTGCATGAGAAATTTCTAACTCTTTCTGTTTAATTATAAACATTCTCACGATCAAACCATGTATTTACAATTACGGGCTAAATTCGTCATATTGTTACTATTCTATCGCCACCTTTAACCTCACACCTGCTAAAACAATTGATCACCTGACTAATTTTCCCACCGAAAAAGGTATAAAAGCCCGACACCTTCCCCTCATTGGGGGAATCGCCGAACGTCGAAGTCAGACATCGCCTTCTCCATCGCAGCCCTACACTTTCGTTGCCGACCTATACTTGTCACTGCTCAGAATCCATAAAGGACGACATTATGGGAAAATATTCCACTAGTATATGCAAAGAGGTATGAATGCTTGTTATTGTAAACTCTCTCTCATTTGCGAAGTATATGAAGTTTTGTGAAATTTTTATTTAGTTAGCTAGTAAAATAAACCGTTGTTTTGTTTTTTAAATGGTGTCATTACTCAACTTCGCCAATGTCTTATCGTCAACCCCTCCGACTCTCCTCCACTCACGTAACGCGTAACGGAACGAAATGCCATCCTTGACAAGAAAGTAGGTCACCGACCAGTGGCCTGAAGGAGAGGACTTTCCGACCTACCCGGTGCCTCACAAATTGGTGTCACAGGAGTGGGGTTTGAATCTAAAAATCCCTAGAAACATCACACATGTATGTTCTGAGATGTATTGTTTGTATAAATGGTGTTAAGTTGAAACTCTTCAGTGTGCATATTGAACTTTTCCAGGATTGTGTTCCCTCAATTCTGCTGTTCATTATTTACATTGATTTGATTGATAGAAACAACTAAAGCTGAAGATATAATGATATTTGTAAAAATGATAATTTGAGAAAGAGATGGTTTCAGTTTTACTGATACAAAAGTAAATTGGTTACACATATCTGTATGTAATGAGCAAAATTGTACAGTAGAAACTATTAGGTTCATAATAAGATATAGGTTTTTAGTTTTATATAAAGTAATTTTTATCTACACGTATTTTTAAAATTCTTTAAATTTGTCATATAATATTTAAATCTTTTTATTTGTAGGAGCTTTTGGAACCACAAACAGCTTTATTGCGTTATGTATTAGAACAGCCGTATTCTAGAGATATGGTATGCAACATGTTAGGCTTGAGTAAACAGGTAAGTTAATAAATGAAAAGTTTTTTTTGCTATGAATTATCCAATAAGTTTGACTCTTCATGCTTCAGAATGCCATAGCATCTGAGCAATTGATTAATTTTAACACAATCTGTCTATTATTAAAGATGTTATTATTATTAATTTGCTAAACAAACAACTCTACGAAAACCCAATACATATATAAGGAGAAAAACTCACATAAAAAGGCATTAAGGAATACGAGGGCTGTTCAAAAAGTATCGGACCTTTGGTCGGCAAAAATAAATTTATTGATTTTGAGGTACAAAACTTTAATCCCCTTCAAAGTAGTCTCCTTGGTAGTGTATACACGCTCCTTCCATTGCTGGAAACACTGGGATTTTCGGCTCACCGTCTTGTCTGACGGTCTGGTGGACTGTTCTGTGTACTTTCTACAAAGAAGTTCGTGTAGGAATTCTTTCTGTGGCACTTGTCAGCCTTCAGCCGATCAGCTGGACCAGCTGTGCCATAGCACCTGTTGGTTGTGTCAGCTAGCAAGTGTGTTAACACTAGTGTGTCATCAAACTTACTCTTGGATAATTTTAACTCTGTCTACTAGTGCAAACTTTCTTTGATGGCTATGGAGTCATTTCTTAAGGGTGCTAATGGCATCCTAGAGGAATTCAAAGCCTATGTGCTCAACAATCCAAATGGCAAGCTCTGCACTCCTGTACATACCCAATTTGTCATTGATCAAATGAATAGAATCATTACTCTGGCTGAAGATAGCTTTAGTGATATTATTCCCTCTGAGAATTATACTGATGGTCCAGCCTCGTCTGATAATCAGGGTACAGAGAAGAATGCTCGTAATGACAGAATTGCTGATACTCAAAAACGTATTCTTGATAGACTGGATATGATTGAAAAGAGAATTACAACACACAAGTCTCCCACTCCATTGTATAGCACTATCGTCAAGTCTGGGGGACATATTAGTTCCAAACGTGCCATGGCGCGACCTTCCACCCACAAGGAGGTGCTTTTAGTTTATAGTAAAGACACAGAACACAGCAACAGTGATGCTGTACGCAAAGTTATGCAGAGCAAAATGAAACCTTTGACACTACATATAGGTGTGGATAGGCTAAGGAAGATAGGTTCTGGGGGACTTGCAATTGAACTAGGCAGTAAAAGAGATGTGGAAACATTGGAAAAATGTATTGAGGAGAATGTGCCAGAATTGGTCACTCGTAGGCCAAGGAAGAGGTGGCCTTATGTCACATTGTTTTCTGTACAGTCTGATATCTCAAAAGATGAGTTAAACAATCTTATTTATCACCAAAATGAAAAGATCAGTGGAATCTATACTGAGGAAGAGTTTGCTAAAGAGTTTCGGATTAAGTTTGTTTTAGGTAAAAGAAATACTAGCTACAGGAATTGGGCTGTGGAGGTGTCGCCCGGCCTTAGAAAAACCCTCTTGGATATGGGTAAAGTTGGGGTAGAATGGTCGCGCTGCAGGATTGCGGATTTTTGCCCAGTCCTGCAGTGCTTTAAGTGCTGCACATATAATCATGCCGCAAAAGACTGTCCTGAATTAGGGCCCACGTGCAGTCATTGCGCAGGCACGCATCTGTACAAAGAATGTTCAAATAGAGAATCCAGTCCAATCTGTTGTAACTGCAAACAGGAGGCAGAAAATAGTTGTAATCATAACGCACGAGACGGGTCTTGCCCGATTAACCAACATATTAGGAACAACATTATCTCCAGAACGGACTATGGCCTTTAATATTAACAACAGTATACGTATTCTGCAAATTAATTTAGGGAGGGGCATTTCTGCTACCTCCCTCCTCTCTAAGAACATTGAAAAATACGATTTAATTTTAGTGCAAGAACCGTATTGTAAGAGAAATACTCCTGCTTGTCTTCCCACATCTTGTCCTGTGCTGTGAGGGACCGATGACTTTCCTTGGGCAATTACGCTCATCCCTTGTACAAACATATCCATTATGCATCACATGAACTTCAGTAGCCAGTTTGTGATTACGACGGAAATTTTGACTAAGGAGGATAGGTTTATTGTGGTTAATGTCTATTTCCCTGGTGATGCTGACAACGTGATTTTTATAGAAGAACTCCAAAGGATTGTAGACGCCTTCCCTGACACCTGTATTTTAATCGCCGGTGATCTAAACGCCCACTCCCTGGCGTGGGGTGGTGACGTTCTTGACCCACGTGGGAGATTACTGGAGGAATTCTTCACTTGTAACGAACTTATGCTGATAAATAACCCATTGTCCCCACTCACTTTCATCTCGAGTTGAGGTAAAAGTTGGATCGACATTGCAGTTTGCAGTGCCAACTACCATCCCAGGATAAGGGACTGGAGAATCCTAGATGATGACAGCCTAAGTGAACACGAATACATCACATTTGACATAGCAGCTGCAAATGACACTACTACGCCAGTTCTTAACTCTAGGGACAAATTTGCCCTAAATTGGGCAAATTGGCCGGAAATGAAAGAGTATCTCGAGGAACAACTTATTCAGCAGTACTCTGATAANTTTGGTTCAAATACCTGTTGTCATCGTTCATGGTAGTAGCATGATTTCACATTCATAAAAGTTTTTATTGTTGCTTACAAAAAACTGATCCGTGTGATTTTTGACATTGTCATTTCAAGTAAATGTCTTACAGTTAAAAAAAAAAATTTGTATAGACCAGAACAAGTAATAATCCGAGTGTGCTCGATCTGGCGAATATGGTTGGTGCGATAGCACATCCCAACTAAGTTATAACAGTTTCTGACGAGTTACCAAAATTGTGTGAAATTTGACATTATCATGGTAAAACACTACACCTGTTTTGTTGATCAATTCTGGCAACCTTTTCTGTTTGATGATATTACTCAATTTGTTTACTTGATGGCAGTACACTTTCAATTGTTAAATTGTCTGGTAAAAGCTCCAAAAAAAAAAATTTTCTTAAAATCCCACCAAAGAGAGAATCTCTCTTTAAGTAAATGTGGAACCCATATATCGAGCTTTGAAACAATACCAATTTGTTTCAAGTAATCATAAATGGTTCAACTTGACAAATTTAATCTATTAGTGATTTCACGTGTTGTTATTCGGCAGTTTGCTTCAATCGGTACCTTTATTTTGTTTTCGTTGGCTTCAACTGGCCATCCAGAAAGTGGTGCATATTCAATATTGAAATTGCAAGAATGAAATTTTGTAAACCAGTTTTGGTACTGTTGTTCTCTCAACACATCATCTCCATACATGTACCACATTTTTTTCTTGCTCGAACAGCATTTTGATTTTTTGGTAATAAAAAAGCAAAATATGCCGAAAATGATACTTTCTATCTTCCATGTTTGATGGGACAAAAAATAAACAATTACACAAAATCAAACAAAATTTTTTACAAGTAAACCTTAAAATGCTAGCTGTCAAAATATATAATGATATTACGGTTTAGAATGAAAAATGGTGGGAAAAATACCACTAATCCGTCTAGTGGTAAAAAAACGAACTTACTTTCTGAACAACCTAATATTTTAAGTTATTTATGATGATTGTAAGAATTTGTTTGATGTAAACTTGAATGATAAATATAACAAATATTCATTTCAGTTTTTTAAATTTTAGGTGATGAAAACTGTCGAACACCTTTATCATCTTTCGTGGATAGCTAAACAACAAAGAATAAATTTGGAGAATCTAATACTTTCTAGAGTTGATTCTCATCCAGCAGCATGTTGCCAATATGCTAATGCATTAGAAAGAGTTAACTTTATAGATTCTTACAAAACTCTAGGAAATCAAGATGGTGCTTACTCGGAATTTTTGCAACAGTTTCGAGAAGATCCAAAATTAATAGCGATGTGTTTGTCTATAGGGGAAAAAATAAATATAGAACAAATGCAGAATATAGTTCATATAATAATGTCTGCTATTTATGGAAATAACATTATTCCTGAAGATGAAATTTATGTTTTGAGATTATTGAAAGAGTTAATGGCTTTACAACTTGCAACTAGCGAAAATCCTCGGAGATTACTAAGACATGGTTCCTGTGCATTCAGTCGTGTTTATAAAACATTTAGTGAGAGTCTGTTTTCTGCCAAACTGTTTCTTACTGGAGCTTTACATGAACCGATAATGCACTTGCTGATGGAAGACGATTTGTTTTTAGATATCGACCCTGATAAAGCAGTAGTGAGATTTCCACCTCAAGAAAGACTTCGTCATTTTGGAAAAGAAGGAACTCAGGAATATTTGGCTAATTTGCAAAGATATCGAAGCTGGACTATTGATAAATTAGTGAAGTTGACAAAAAACTTTATTGAAGGTATTCAGAATAATATGTATTGTTTCCCACAGTCGCTATCATGGCTAGTTAGACAGATGTTTAATCTTGTTATGAAAGCTAAAAAAGTTGAAGTTAGAGAAGTAGGTGCTATGTGTGCTGATTTAATATTTGCATTTTTCATTTGTCCTGCAATTGTTACTCCAGAACCGTATGGTATAACTGATGCTCCGATAAGTCATATTGCCAGATTTAATTTAATGCAAGTGGCCCAGATTTTACAAGTACTTGCTATGAGTAAATGGGAAGAAATTGATTTAAAATTAATGGATTTATATGGAAAATTTGAAAAGGTGAGATAGAACATTTTAAAATATTGTTATTAAATCACAATAATTTTCTTTTTTTTATATTTTAATTCTAAAAGTGTCACATACAGTATAATTTTTATCTCAATCCAAAAATATACCAATGTTTATGAATATGAAATGCCATACATACCTTTTCAGCAAAGGTAATACGTATTACATATGCTGTTTTTTTGACAAGAACTTTTATGAAATAATATAAATATCATAATTGAGTTTTAGTTTGCAAAAAGAAAATGCAAATACAAATTTTGAGGGCACAGCATTAAATTTTACTGCTTAATGAGAGAGAAATATCTGAATGCGAGAATGTTATGACTGTCAAATATACAGTTATCATCTTTCTCACTATGTCTACATGAAAGATTTGCATTTTCTAATTCTGTAATATTAATTAGTGTTATGTATTTTATTTCAAAATTTTAAACTTATAAATTAAGTTTGTAGCTACTGAATAGTTTGTCATTTTGAATGTTAACCAACATGACAATTTTTCTTTTTTGAGGATCAGTGGTGGCTCAAGGCTGAGTAATAAATATTAATACTTAACTCTATCTGATAAGTCCTACAAATTGATAGCAAAATTAAAAGTTGAATTTGCTATCAATTTGTAGGACTTATCAGACCACAGTTTTCAATTGGAAAGTTCACTGAGATTTTATTAAACCAATATGTATATACATTTTGGGCCTATTATTACTCTTTATCAGTTGGATTTATCCCACGTATTCTTGTCTTTTCCATTTAATGCCAAGTACAATTTGGAATTGGAAAGTTGGAAAAATTGTAGGACATACTAGACTAGTGGTGTGCAACCCGTGGGTCTCTGGGGTTGCAAGAAAATTTTTCGGAGTTGCCACATTCAAAGATATTGTTCCAAAATTAGCACAGCATATATGACAGGTATGTATATAAAGCCTCATAAGGAATTCTTTCCCTGCCCCGCCTATTGGCACTACAGGGTTAAAGAGACTATGCCTTGTTCATTGGCTTGGTCTGATACCTGACATGGTAGACAGGAACGACATAGCTGGGCCACATGGTGCATCTTTTGGGCTCCCATTTGCACCCAGGCCCAGCCCTCTAATCTGGCATAACTTTTGTAATGTAATGTGCAGCCTGTTCTGCACTATGGTCCACAATACTAAACCTTCAGCTCACTTTACTTTACTATACTTTCCAGCTCAATTATGATACTAATGGACAGCGGGGTCCCCTTCCCTACAAGAAGAGGGGGCCCAGCCTAGTGCGTCTGCCAGGCTTATAGACCAAGAAGATCCATAATATGTTCCATCAAATCCTTTAGTTTTTTAAGGTTCCCTTTACTAGCTGCAAGCACTCGAAGTACTTGTTTAGGCGGCCTGGACCAGTCAACTTGGTAGGCCCCTCGGCGGAAATCCTCAGTAAGAGGACAGTCAAGTACATAGTGTCTCGCGTCACTGTGAGGACACCCACAGGAGCAGCTACCATCTCCTTGTCTGAATCTGGAGGGGGTTGCCAGTTCCGGCTGGCGAAACTTGCTGCCTTGTCGTTCGGCTCAGTTTTCGATCGTGATTTCTCTGTGATTTTTCGTCGCACTTTAGATTTTTATACATCAATGGAATCGTCTTATTGTCCGCTAACCGTGAGTACAATGTTTGTTCGAATCGGATAATTCTTTATTGAGTTATCACCATCCGGGTTTTTTGGGTTTTTGTCGAGTTATCCGCGACTGTATTTTTACCATTAGACAAAGGAATGCTTCATGGCCATGTGGTTGGACAGCCACTCGGCGTGGCTTAGCCGATTCGGCGTTTCGCGTGTTGCGGGTTTCGGTTCTGTTGTTTCGGGTACTGGTTTGGCTGTTTCTGCTGTATTTCTAAGCCCTGTCTGTTACGCGGTTTCCGCGCTTTGTTTGTTCTTAAGGATTTCGCATCCTGCCCGTTTTCGCCGTTCGGCTTAACAGGCGCCGATTGGCATTTACGTGTTCTTTGTTTACCCGGATTTTCGGCTCACTGTCTTGTCTGACGGTCTGGTGGACTGTTCTGTGTACTTTCTACAAAGAAGTTCGTGTAGGAATTCTTTCTGTGGACTTGTCAGCCTTCAGCCGATCAGCTGGACCAGCTGTGCCATAGCACCTGTTGTTTGTGTCAGCTAGCAAGTGTGTTAACACTAGTGTGTCATCAAACTTACTTTTGGATAATTTTAACTCTGTCTTTTAGTGTTAACTGTTTCTTCGATGGCTATGGAGTCATTTCTTAAGGGTGCTAATGGCATCCTAGAGGAATTCAAAGCCTATGCGCTCAACAATCCAAATGGCGAGCTCTGCACTCCTGTACATACCCAATTTGTCATTGATCAAATGAATAGAATCATTACTCCGGCTGAAGATAGCTTTAGTGATATTATTCCCTCTGAGAATTATACTGATGGTCCGGCCTCGTCTGATAATGAGGGTACAGAAAAGAATGCTCGTAATGACAAAATTGCTGATACTCAAAAACGTATTCTTGATAGACTGGATATGATTGAAAAGAGAATTACAACACACAAGTCCCCCACTGCATTGTATAGCACTATCGTCAAGTCTGGGGGACATATTAGTTCCAAACGTGCCATGGCGCAACCTTCCACCCACAAGGAGGTGCTTTTAGTTTATAGTAAAGACACAGAACACAGCAACAGTGATGCTGTACGCAAAGTTATGCAGAGCAAAATGAAACCTTCGACACTACATATAGGTGTGGATAGGCTAAGGAAGATAGGTTCTGGGGGACTTGCAATTGAACTAGGCAGTAAAAGAGATGTCGAAACATTGGAAAAATTTATTGAGGAGAATGTGCCAGAATTGGTCACTCGGAGGCCAAGGAAGAGGTGGCCTCATGTCACATTGTTTTCTGTACAGTCTGATATCTCAAAAGATGAGTTAAACAATCTTATTTATCACCAAAACGAGGAGATCAGTGGAATCTATACTGAGGAAGAGTTTGCTAAAGAGTTTCGGATTAAGTTTGTTTTAGGTAAAAGAAACACTAGCTACAGGAATTGGGTTGTGGAGGTGTCGCCCGGCCTTAGAACAACCTTCTTGGATATGGGTAAAGTTGGAGTAGAATGGTCGCGCTGCAGGATTGCGGATTTTTGCCCAGTCCTGCAGTGCTTTAAGTGCTGCACATATAATCATGTAGCAAAGGACTGTCCTGAATCAGGGCCCACGTGCAGTCATTGCGCAGGCGCGCATCTGTACAAAGAATGTCCAAATAGAGAATCCAGTCCAATCTGTTGTAACTGCAAACGGGAGGCGGAAAATAGTTGTAATCATAACGCACGAGACGGGTCTTGCCCGATTAACCAACATATTAGGAACAACGTTATCTCCAGAACGGACTATGGCCTTTAATATTAACAACAGTATACGTATTCTGCAAATTAATTTAGATAGGGCCATTTCTGCTACCTCCTTCCTCTCTAAGAACATTGAAAAATACGATTTAATCTTAGTGCAAGAACTGTATTGTAAGAGAAATACTCCTGCTTGTCTTCCCACATCTTGTCCTGTGCTGCGAGGGACCGACGACTTTCCTTGGGCGATTACGCTCATCCCTAGTACAAACATATCCACTATGCATCACATGAACTTCAGTAGCCAGTTTGTGATTACGACGGAAATTTTGACTAAGGAGGATAGGTTTATTGTGGTTAATGTCTATTTCCCTGGCGATGCTGACAACGCGACCTTTATAGAAGAACTCCAAAGGATTGTAGACGCCTTCCCTGACACCTGTATTTTAATCGCCGGTGATCTAAACGCCCACTCCCCAGCGTGGGGTGGTGACGTTCTTGACCCACGTGGGAGATTACTGGAGGAATTCTTCACTTGTAACGAACTTATGCTGATAAATAACCCATTGTCCCCACCCACTTTCACCTCTCGAGTCGAGGTAAAAGTTGGATCGACATTGCAGTTTGCAGTGCCAAATACATCCCAGGATAAGGGACTGGAGAATCCTAGATGATGACAGCCTAAGCGAACACGAATACATCACGTTTGACATAGCAGCTGCAAATGACACTACTACGCCAGTTCTTAACTCTAGGGACAAATATGCCCTAAATCGGGCAAATTGGCCGGAAATGAAAGAGTATCTCGAGGAACAACTTATTCAGCAGTACTCTGATAATCCTACTGAGGCCAGGACTCAGATTGACCAAAATATTATGACCATCATTACTGCTTGCGAGCTATATATCCCAAAGAAAACTATACACAAAAAGAGTGTTCCCTGGTGGACCACTGAATTGAATGATCTACGCCGAACCACTAGAAAGCTGAGGAAAATATATCAAAAATGTTCAGATGATACTGCTAGAGCAGAACATAGGGAGGCTTACCTGATAAGCCAAAGACATTACAAAAAGGTTATGAAACTAACTAGGGTTCAGAGCTGGCACAACTTCTGTTCAAGGACCTCCAATGATCCTTGGGGCTTTGTGACCAGAATGTGTAGTGGCAAGCTTAGGAAGACACAGATTTTGACTGCCAAAAACAGTGACAATAATCCAGAGACCTTAATTGAGACCTTAGCCTCACAGTTACAAAGTTACTGTCCGTATGACGATCCTGAAACTGATACTGAACGGCAACATCAAATACGTGACCAATGCTATTACACTGATAATACCGAGGACACTATTCTTTTTACAATGGAGGAAATGGATCAAGCTTTCAACTATATGGGCAGGGGCAAGGCCCCTGGCCTCGACAACATTACTGCAGAGATTGCTCTTGGTCTTTGGAAGATCATTCCTCAAACACTGTATAATACCTACAATGCCTGCTTAATACATGCCATTTTCCCACACGCTTGGAAAAAGGCTAATATAGTTCCCGTCCCAAAACCAGGGTCTGCTACTGACACCAGGCCCATATCTCTTCTGCCCGTGTTGGGCAAAGTTTTGGAGCATCTGATTGCTAAAAGGATGATTTGGTTTGTTGAACGAAATCAGATTTTATGTGA